GCTGGCGCCTCGGGCTGCGGGGGCCGGGGCAGGGGTGGCGGCGAGGAGGAGGAAGGAGGGGGAGGGGGCGGGGAGTACGGGGCTCCCTGTGTAGCCGCAGTGCCCGAGCCGGGACCGCCTCTTGCCTCCGCCTGCTTGTCCTCTGGCGCTGGCTTCCTGGCTTGGAGGCGAGACCCTCCCCAGCGGCGGCAGGAACAGCTTCGACTTAGTGTGAACAAATTGCTTTGTGGTGGCGTGTCAAGGGCTTCAGGGAGAGGTGTGTGTTCGTTTGTGTGTGTTCGCGCTCCTGACTATGTATGTGTTGGTTCACCTGAAATGAAAATCAGTCCTGAGTCAAAACCGCAGGTGGCCCCTTGGGCCCTCTCACCTTTTGGCTTTTTTCCCCAGGGATTACACGCGGTGCTATCTAGGGGAAGGGGTGCGCGAAAGGGAGACGGAAGGATTTGTGAATGGTGCCTCTGCGCTTGGAGGCTGAGCCTTGCTGATGTAAAGGAGGAGGTATCCGGAGTGAGAAGAAAGGCTATTTATGGCAAAGAGTTGTGAAATTTCTCGGGGTTTCCTTCAGTGTGTCTTGAGCTTCTTTCTTCTCCCTCTCTCCCATCTCTCCCATCTCCTTTATCAGAATTAGAAGTGATTCTGCTTTCCCCCTTCTCTCGTGGGATTTGGAATATGAAATCAAGTCAGAAAAATCACTTGCCTTTTATAGATGGAAAAAAAAAATGCTTCTTAGAAATCTCTTAGAAGAGCTCTTGCCCTTTAATGTTTTTATGTACTTACTCTCCACTCCTCTTAACTCCTCAGGCCATCAATAAGACCCACAAGACATAAAGTACCTACTTGCTCTCAACAGCTTTCTTTTCTAATATCTTTGCAATTGACTACCTTACGACTGAAATGTAACACATACCCTCATCCTTACCCCTAAGAAAGGCTATTAAAAACGATGCACACACATTTTACTGTAAAGCTGGTTCTATTAAACGCTTTAGTGGAGGAAAGAGAAGCAGACACCTAGCTGAGTTTATATTGATTACTACTGATTAAAAACTTGCTATTAAGAAAAGACCTAAAATATTGTTAATCTAGGCTACGATAGTTTCTTTCAGTTTCTCTTTCTATTTGATTTTTAACAGAGACATAACTTGAAGCTTAGAGATGACTTGGGACAATGTCTACTAACTATGCTTTAGTAAATTTATGTTTGTTCTTAAAAGTTAGCAACAGAGCTTTTATAGAGCTGATGACTTATTTGTGACTGAGATAGTAGGTCATTGTCTTTATTCTTTTACATTGGGGTGTCTCCAAGGCCTGCCAAACACAATGTTTTAAAACACTGAAATTCCATGTTACAACTACCCCTTCAGTAATTTCACAGAGAAGAAAGAGAAGCAAACTGGTCAACCCATCATCAGAGTGATTTGTCTTCCTTTGATATTAATTAGGGAGCTCCTTATTTTGATTGAAACATGCCAACTGTATTTTTTTCTCCTTTCCCCAGTATGAAAGTGGTTTTCATTACCAGTCATGTGTATTTTGAAGACAAGCAGAGTTAAGTTATTTTGATTTGGTTATGTTCATATTGGTTTAAAATACATTTTCAACATTGGAGCATGTGTGGTTTTATATATTACTTTAGAATCTATACTGAGAGCCCTACTGAGTGTTGTTACATTAACTTTCCTGAATCGTTGGAATTTTAAAATGTACTTGATGAACTATAGTATTACAATCATTAAAAAGTCATATTTATGAATATTTTGTTCTTTGACGCTGTCAGAGAATCAGCAACTGTTTGTTATTTTAATGATCTGTTATTTATACTATAGAACGTAAATTTACATCAAACTTATGAAGTAGAAAATAAAAAGTGTATTATATTTTAGTTATTCAAGTTTTTATTGCATTTTATTATTCAACATAGCTCTCATAACAGGGCCTGCCATGTGCAAGGTACTGTTTAGGCATTGTGGAGAGAGAACATAAGACTCCCTTGCTCCCTGCCCTTCAGGAGCTTACTTTCTGATTGTGAGGAATCTGATGCTCATGCTTGAATGGAGTTAGCAACCCATGACAATATGAGATTGCATGTCTGTTGAGGACTGTAGGAGTTCAGAACACTGACAATAATATTTCATACTGGGTTTTGTTTAAAAAGGCTTCAGGGATAGGTAAGACTTGCTTAGTCTTGATCTTAAAGTATAAATAGGATTAGTGGCTTATGGATGACAATATGAGGTAGAAGGTGTATCTTTTGAAATTGTAGAAAAGAACAAAGTTATAAGAAAGATAAGTTTATTTTGAAATAGATTTAAATAGATTTAAATATTCGAAATAGATATTGAAAAGTGGTGGAATTTCATGTGCCAAGTGCAGGGCAAGTCTGTTTTTGATGTAAAATATTCTGTACATGCTAGTCTTGTAATTGTCAATACACATTTTTGTACCTAAGAAGACAAATCTTTGACTTTCTATTGCCTTTTAATGATCAAAATGCTCAACATATTTGTAAACAATACTTATTCTTTTTTTTAAAATTTATTTTTAATTTTTTTGAGGTGACATTGATTAACAAAGTCCAGTAAGTTTCAGGTGTATAAACAATACTTATTCTAAAATTTAAATATACCACATCGTACTGTGTTGAATTTGGTATTAATAACAAGGTGTTTGAGATACATCTGTAACCAACCATCTTTAGAAAGTAGGACATATGTAAAAGAAAACTGTATTAAGTGAGCATTTATTGAATACTTAAATATTTTATTCTTCATATAAAATGTGTAACCCATTAAATAACATATTTTCTATAATATTTTTATTTTAAAGTTATTAGATGCATCCATATAATAATCTATCCTTACATTATTTTCCATGAGTATAGAGCTGCAATGAAAGGCTGTGGGGAACAATTTTAGATTGTAGGAACAATTTTAAAGATATTGTAACTATCTTCTAGTAAATAGATTGTATTAATAATAGGAACATATCCTGTCTCTAAGCATTCTGAACTTACTTATTTTTTTTATGTATATACTTGTTTTTATAAATACACAAAATTGTTTAAAATGCATTTATCCATTTTAAGAACTCAAAAGGAAACACCTTAAATAACTCTTAGCCTGTTTATTCAGTATGACACCCCAGAAGTATGTTTTGGTGACAGTAAATAAAAAGTACAAATATTAGATATGACTTTCAATAAATAACAGTAGAATTACTTTCAGTTTGGTCAGATTAAAAGAGTTTCATATATAGTTTTTGTTGACAGTGAATAGATAAGAGTTAGTACAAAAGTGAAAAACCTATTAAATCACCAATTTCATATTCATGCAGGAATGGGATGATTTCCAAAGTAGAGTACAAATCAGACTGTCTGTTAATTGGTATTTTGAGTTTGGTTTTGAACTATATGTCACAGGTGTATCACTTTGATAATGTAATCTCTCCTACTATATGACTGACAAATTCTGCAAGATTTCCCTCTTAGATAGTGACAAAATCTGTTTGCTTTATATTGAGAACATAAGCTTCTCTTAGCAATATTATCTTCACTATGCACGGGTATCAGTTAACAATAAAATATGAAGTCTGGGGTGGGATAAGCAGTAAGAAAAGATGGGGAGATTGATGAAAAACAGTATAACAAAAGCAACATAAATATGTTATATTTAGCTTAAGCCGAATATAACATAAAAATGTAAAAATGACCACTCTAAACCAGAATGGATACAGTACCAAGATATTTTTATCGGTTTTAAATTTTATTTTATTTTTCAGTTTTTTATTTTAAAATGACCATATTGCATCTTAGGCATTTCGTGTGGCCTAAATAAAATGGCAAAATAAAAAGTGGTGTTTGAAAACATGTACTAGGGTCTGCGATATAATATTAAATTTTTTTAAAGCTTTCTGATTGAATGATCGACAAATGAAGTTTAATGTTTGGCCAAATTGTGGCCCTGTACTTAGATTAACTTAAAATACAGCTTTTGGTTTTGCATTATTGACACTGGATTAGCAATTCTTAAATTTCAATTAAACTAATTAAAATTTAAAATACCATAACTATGTTCTGAAACTAAATAAAATCTAAAGGTCATTTATAAGGAAACATTTTATTATCTAATAGCAAATTCTTAACCTAGAGCGGTGATTCTCAAAATGTGGTTCCCTGAGAAGCAGCACCAGTGAACTTGTTAAAAGACCAATCCCACCACAGACTGACTGAATCAGAAACTGTGGGATGGGGTCCTCCATGAGATTCTTATGCACTCTCAAGTTTGAGTACCATTGATCCAGAGTATTTCACTGACCTACAGTGAAACTTGCAGGCTGTGTCTTCTGCCTGTTTTGTGTCTAAGTAGTTTCCTCAACTGGTAGAGATAACTATGGTTTAACTATTTAGACCAAGAAAATACTGTAGTATACTCTCTACCAGATTTTCATCTTAACTGTATTTTTAAAAAAAAAGTCAGTTTCTAATTCCTGTGCACATATTTGCTGTTGATTGGGGGAAGCAATACATAGTGTAGAATTTAATTGGACAGTAACTGTCCCAGGTTGGACCTTGCTGATACTCATTTATAAAGACAAAAATATGCAGAG